GGTTTGCCTGATATTGTGTAAAAATGTGTGTAAGTTTGATATAGAAGGCCTTGCCAAACTAATTATCGAAGCATATGCAACCATCATCGTAGACAGTGACTTGTTTATACTGCTCTATATATTATACCAGTGTTTCTCAATCTGGGAGTCGTGATTTATTTGATAATTTATATGGTAAAAATGAGAAAATAAGCAATTTTTTCAGTAATACTGTGCTGTGATACTTGTATTTTTATGTCTGATTTTGTAAGCAAGTAGTTTTTTAAGTGAGGGGTACTCAAGATAAATCAGCCTCCTGAAGGAGGTACAGTAGTCTGGAAACACTGACAACCACTGCTCTAATTGACCTGGATCAAGAATGTCTTTGTTTTATTTTCTATTTCTATAGTAAGGCTATTGGGATCTCAGCATTAAAATACAGTCTCAGAAGGATTTTTTGAATCATGTTTTTAAGAAATTTCATAAATAGACCACTGCACTTCCCCCAAATTAGTGAGTCTGAAGTTTCATTTTTTAAGACCAAAGGTCCCTGCATCTTCCAAGTATTAGAGTGAGTTGTTTTCCAGAAACCCAAAGGTGGAAGTTCATTAGCAATCTATTTGTGTGTAATACATTTTATAGTAACAAATCAAAAGGAAGTCACAACTGGTCTAGTCAAATTTGCTTCCTGCCCTCTAGTCAGGGACGTATCTCCCTGCTGTCAACAGTTCTCTCCGGAAACAGCAAAAGAAAGATCCCAGATCAATCTATGAAACTGAAAAGGGTATTCCCAGAAACACGGAGAAAATGAATGCCAAGGGCTTTTGGTACACTTTACCAGGGAGATCAGGAGTGAATGCACCAAACCGAAAACTCACTGCTGCGGAAATAAACACTCAGGGCTAGACTCTGCTTGGAGACAGCAGAATCTGCTACCATTTGCTGCTCTGAGGTGTACAGTGCCTCACAGAGCTGGGGAAAGGAGGCAAGACCGTGGCTGGCAGTGCAGGAGAGCGTAAGGTGCATCGCTGGCCTCCCCTCTGCGCTGCTATGGGGCCGAGCACCCCCCTCGCCGGGCCCCCCAGGTGGGGGGAGAGGTGACACCCCCACGTGCCCCAGGCCGGGCTGAGCCACGGTGGGGTCCCTGTCCCTTTAAGAGCGGGGCTGGACTGAGCTGAGCCGGCGGGTGGTGGCTCCGCTCCCCGCTGCAGGCTGATGCCAGAGCCTGGGCTGAGAGCCAGACTCGTCTCCTGCACCAGCTCCGGGCGAGGCTTTGCTGCGGCTCCCCCAGTCCCCTTGGGCCGGGCCGCCACACGGTAGGGGCGGGTTGCATGAGGCAGGGCAGGACCCAGTGGGGCCGAGGGCTGAACAGGCCCGGCAGGGGGCTGCTGGAGGGGGAAGCTGGGGAAGAGGTGGCACGGCCTCAACCCCCTGGGGCTGCCTGCCCCGTGGAGGAAGCAGAGGGGCGCAAGCCGCAGCAGGACCCCAGCCCCCTGGGGGAGGGGATCTGGGCCAGCCCGGGGAGGCAGGAGCAGCCCCGGGGGTGCTGGGCGCGTGCAGGGCAGAGCCCCGGGAGAGCCCCAGCCCCGCGGCGGGCAGTGCTGCAGAGGAGGAGCCCGCGCCCCCCGGCGGGCGAGGGGAGCCCCAGGCAGGGGGAGCCGGGCCGCCCGCACCCGCCTCTCGCGGCCGCTCCATGCTGCTCCCAGTACCGCTTTCCGCCGGCGCGGCTACCCTGTCAGCCGCTTTTGGGTCTTTAAATAGCCGTCGGGGGAAATCCCGGACATTTTTAGCTTTTTACAAATCCCCCCCGGACGGCTACTAGGGTGACCAGACGTCCCGATTTTATCGGGACTGTCCCGATATTTGCTTGTTTGTCCCATGTCCTGACCAATGTTCGGTCGGGCCACTGGACAAACAAGCAAAGGCTCCCACGCACAGGTGGAGCCCGGAGGGGCTCGCGCCCCCCCCGCCCCAACTCTGCCCCCTCTTTCCCCCATTGGATCCCTCCCCAAATCTCCACCCCCAGCCCCGCCCCCTCACTGCCCCATTGGCTCCCTCCCCAAATCCCCGCCTCTTCCCCAAGCACGCCATTCCTCCTCCCTCCGCAAGCGCTGGAGGGAGGCCGGGGAGACGCAGGGGAGCGCGGGGCCAGGCGGGGTGAGTCACGCAATCCCGCGGGCAGCCCTGGGGCGGAGGCAGTGGTAGCCCCGTTCGTTCCCCTGCGGGACGGGGTCAGGGGCTTCTCCTTCACCGCGTGGCCAGCCCAGTCCCCCGGGGATGCTGTGGGGCGGCTTGCCTCGGGTCACTGGCTCCCACGGGCTCCCTGGGGAAGGGCAGGCCTGGTGGCCGGCGGGGACTGATGGTGGTGGGCCTGGTAAAACTCCCCCCTCCGCTTCAGAGTGCAGCAGCCAGGGATCCTCGGGACACGCGGAGCAGCCAGCACTGGCAAGGGCCCTTCCCAGGGACAGTCCCTGACGCAGAGAGCTCCGCGGGTGCTGGCTGCTCGTTTTGTGTTGGGAGCAAAGCGCTCCGGCGGTTTTTTTTGTTTTTTTGTTCCGCCCCCGTTTTTTCTCCTCGGCCCCCCCACGTCCCGATATTTCAGTTGTGTCATCTGGTCACTCTAGCTCTATCAGAGCTTCTGAGCTCCCAGAGGGCAAAGAGCCTTTCGATGAGGGTCCCTTAATCATCAAGAGAGTTTGTATAAATACTTATTTTAGAAACCCACAGATCTACTCATTAAACTGAGTTTTCAAAAAACACAGTGTTTGGATCCATAGTCCCTTATGCTAACAAGAGTCTTTGCTCTGGCTGAAGGGGACATAGGCAGAGGCCTCCTGACTGGCTCTGTATTTCCTCATCTCTTATCTAATAGCTACAGAGTGAGTAGGTAACATGAGCACTGGCATTGTAGTCATAGCCTTCTCATCCCTGATTCTTTTTGCTCATGGGCAGGAGCAGAGAGCGGTTGTCATTATCCTGAAGAACCAAAGGGAGGCACTGATGGTGAGCCCAAATGCAAAACCCGCAGCTAGCTGGCTGCCACTGCAGTCAAGGAAGAGGGCAAAGGCAAGCAGCAGGAACCTCTCACTAGAGCTGGGCAGATTTCTGTGACAAACTTTTTTTCAGCGAAAAATGCAGATTTGGGTCGATTCAAACATTTCACAAATTTGTGTTGAATTCTCCAAATTGTTTCAACCTGAAAAACCCCCAAAGAAACAGTGTTTTGTTTGGAAAATATCCAAATAACATTCTGATTTTTGATTCAAAATGTATTTTTGTTGAGAAACTTCTCAGCTTTTATTTAAAAAAAAAATCAATAATCTTTATAAACGCCTGAAATCAAAATGAAATGTTTTGTTCTACCCAAAATGATTTTTTTTTACTTTTCAGTGAGCTAAAATTTAAAAAAAACTTGATTTTGTTTCAAGCTTTCAGACGCACCAGTGAACCAAAAAATCAGTTATTCGCACAGCTCTACATCTAACTGATATTTTCCCCACTAAATCACTGCAGCTCCAGTTTCTCTAGATCAGGGATCGGCAACCTTTGGCATGCGGTCTGCCAGGGTAAGCACCCTGGCGGGCCGGGACGGTTTGTTTACCTGCCACGTCCGCAGGTTCGGCCGATCGCGGATCCCACTGGCTGTGGTTCGCCGCTCCAGGCCAATGGGGGCGGCGGGAAGCGGCAGCCAGCACATCCCCCTTAACTAGCAATTTCCACACAGCCTCCCCCCCCCCCCGGCCTTTGCTGCTTAATTGGCCGATTGGGCCCGCCCACCCTAATTCAACCCTCTCAGGGCCGGTGTGGGGAGCACACCCCATCACAATGACTAAGGATACAATTTAGTCACGGAGGTCACGGATTCCGTGACTTTAACAGATCTCTGTGACTTCTCCGGCTGTTAGCCCCGCCATGGTCATATCCTGATTTTGTACATTTTCTGTTCCGTGAATTTTGCTTAATTTTACCATGACAAAACTGTGTCCATCACAATGACTAACCTAGCAGAGAAAGGTCTAAAACAATCCAATGGCTGGAAGATGAAGCTAAACAAATTCAGAGTGGAAATAAGACAGACATTTTTAACAGTGAGAACAATTAACCATTGGAAGAACTTTCCAAGGACTATTGGTAGATTCTCCCTCACTAACAATTTTTAAATCAAGTTTGGAGGCTTTTCTAAAAGATCTGCTCAAAAAGCTAAAACACAAAAACCCAGAAGCCCCCAACATTTATCATTTTTTAAAATCTCATGATTTTTAAGCCACTCTCATGATTTTTGGAGGCCTCTGACTACAGATATAGAACCAGATCCTCACCCATGGAGCTATGGCCAGTTCCTGCCAGCTGGGATCTGGCCTCATCGACTCCAATGGAGCTACGGCTGATTCACACCATGTCTAATTCTTGTTTTGAACCACTGAATGATTTGCCCCACTTTGTCACAGCAGGGAATTCCACCATGTAGAATGACCAGATGTCCCAATTTTATGTCAACAGTCCCGATATTTGGGGCTTTTTCTTAGATAGGCGCCTATTACCTGCCACCCCGTCCCAATTTTTCACACTTGCTCTCTGGTCATCCTAGCTCCACTAAAGTAAAATAGTCCTCATTATCCATGTTTTAATGTCATTCGGTGATATCTGGGGCTTGGGTCAGTAATGGGGAAAGGATGGGGGGGACAGTGCTTCTCCCTGCTCTGTTATTTCATGCAGCTGGGTTGCCACCTGCCAAGGTTTTCCAATTATCATCCTTTTTGGAGATAGCTGTCAGTCCTGGGAAATCTGTACAGATACTCAGCACACACTGCCAGCTGTCCTGTTTTAGGAGGTCATGACCACCTAGAGGAGACAGCTTTTTGTACCTAGAGGAGACAACCCTATGCAGCAGCTCTCTGCTATTTTCTTCCCCCCACACAGATCAGGAACTAACCAGAAGTGCAGGACCAGCTCCAGTTCTTCACAAACACGATTGCAGAGGAAAGTGAAAGTAAAATTTGTTCTTTTTCACAGCAGCCATCATGTCAGCTATACACCCTGTACAGGAGTTCCGGGATGAGCTGATTTGTCCCATCTGCCTGGGGTCCTTTAAAGACCCAGTGATTCTAGACTGTGGGCACAATTTCTGCCAAGCCTGTATCACCGACTGCTGTGAGGCGGGCACAGGAGTTTGCCCCCAGTGCAGGAAATCTTTTCTCAAGGGAGAGCTGAGGCCTAACAGGCAGCTGGAGGAGGTGGTGAACATAGCGAGAGGCCTAGACAGAGAATGCGAGAAACATGGAGAAAGTTTCAGTCTCTTCTGCAAAGAGGACCGGACCCTCCTCTGCAAGGTTTGCAGAGTGTCTCGAGAACGCAAAGTTCACACAGTCATTCCCATCGAGGCAGCTGCAGAGGAGGTTAAGGTAGGACATTTGCGTAGAAATCAGAGATGGGGATAGATCGATTTGGACACAACTCCGCCCTGCTTTTGCACTTTGCTCAGTCATTTACATCGAAGAACAGTGCGTGTCAAATGCTAGTGGATCAGAATGGGAGCATTTGATATCCATTTTTCACAGGTGTATGTGACTGTGCAAAGTAGTGGGGAGGGGGGAATAACAGGCTTAGTTTGTTTGACTCTAACCACAGGGTTGCCCCTTCTCTGCGGGGTGACCAGAAATTCCAAAACATGTGTCCTACCTGGTTCTCTTGAAAGTGGAGTGGTGGGAAAGGACCACCAGAGGTGTTTTGTTTGATAAAGATTTCTGGGGTGGGGGCTTTGTAGAAGGCCTAAGAATAAACAGAACAGGAGTACTTGTGGCACCTTAGAGACTAACAAATTTATTAGAGCATAAGCTTTCGTGGGCTACAACCCACTTCTTCGGATGCATATTGAGTGAAACATATCGAGGAGATATATATACACACATACAGAGAGCATGAACAGGTGGAAGTTGTGTTACCAACTCTGAGAGGCCAATTAAGTAAGAGAAAAAAAACTTGATAATCAAGAAGCTTCTTAAGCTCTAATAAATTTGTTAGTCTCTAAGGTGCCACAAGTACTCCTGTTCTTTTTGCGGATACAGACTAACACGGCTGCTACTCTGAAACCTAAGAATAAACAGTATTTACCCATCTGCGTCCCTTTTAATTCTTTCTACTGGTCCATTCTCAGTATGCTTTAATTATATGTTTTTATTCTTTTATTTTATTGCTTATTTCCACCTCAGGGTTTTTCTACTCTATTTTTTCCACCCTTTTCTTCTCTTCCCCCCCGCAATCCTTGTTCTACCTAACCACAGTTACTGGAAAAATCAGAATTTTTTTTCCTGGGAGACTTGTGGGGAGGGGGGAGGATTCTTTCAAAAACAAACACCCCTCCCCCTCAAAAAATGGTTAGTTTTTTAGTGAAAACATAGTTTTCAAAAAGTTTAAACTAGAAAATGTTTTGGTTTCCGATTTTCAAAAAACCAAAAGAATTTCAGTTTGATTTTTCTTCAAAATAAGAGGAAATTTTAAAGAAAAATAATTTCCTGCATATTTTTTTCCTTCAAAAATCCTCCCCTCCTCCTAAAAATGGAGGAATTTTTTTGAGACCAGTTTTACTGTTAACTCTTTCCCTATCTCCTTCAAACTGCAAACTCCTTTGCTCCTGGCACTCTTCCTATGAATTTACTATACTTGCTCTCCTTTATTCAACTATCACTGCTTCACCCCCATTCCTTTGCTCATTCTCCCTGCAGTGCTGCAAACTCCAGTCACTGCCACTTGCTGCTACAAGACCTCTTTTCCCCCGCTGCTATTTCCATCCCCAAACACCCCTGCTGCAATCCACCACACCGCTGCTAAACTCTCCCCCCCCACCTCATCTCTGTCCACTTCCTCCAATCAATCAGTAGAAGACTGTGTTGCTGTGCTGAATATCATGGGTTTGAAGCCAGCTAATTACCTGTGGTACATGTGATTTGTATATCTTAAGTCTTATAAAATGGCCTTTAACTTTGCTTTTATATGATAAGACATTAGGATTCACTGGGACTGTTCACATACGTAAGAGTTATTCACGTGCATGAGTGCTTGCTTATTTGCTTTCTAACAACAAATGTATAATAAGGTATATAACTTGTATAAGAGATAATTTAAGGTTTCATTATAAATACCTCGGTCTTTTATCATTTTTTCTCCAATTATTCATGAGGGAAAACACACGGATAACTTCTTGATTTATACATCCCCTTTCCCTTAACAGGTCTCTTTGCAAAGACTTTAAAACACCTTTCTCTCTCTCTCTCTCTCTCTCTTTTTACATTGTATCTTTCCTCATTATTTTGGCTGCAGTTCTTTATCATTTCTAGAAGGGGCACTCTATATACGTCACTGGTTTAAGGGTTGTGTGACATACACCAAATCCTGGAGGTTTCTCTCCTTAGGTAAGGTAGGCTTTCTGACTGGGGTGGAAGGGCTTAAGTGGGTCACCAGAAGAGAAAGGGTTTAGAAAACTGGTTTTCAACCTTTTGCAGACCCCTAAAAATTTTCAAATGGAGATGCGGACCTCTTTGGAAATCTTAAAAATGATTAAACATAAAACAGGTTGTTTAAAACATAAGATCACATCTGATATGTTGGAGACATCATGTCCAGTCCTCTCCTTATCGTTAAAGGATTAGAAAACATGCCGTACAGTGATAAACTCTCAGTGCTCAATCACAGAAAATTAGGGTAGGACGAGACCTGAGGAGGTCATCTAGTCCAACCCCCTGCTCAAAGCAGGACCAACCCCAACTAAATCATCCCAGCCAGGCCTTTGTCAATCCAGGCCTTAAAAACCTCCTAAGGATGGAGATTCTACCACCTCCCTAGGTAACCCATTCCAGTGCTTCACCACCCTCCTAGTGAAATAGTGTTTCCTAATATCCAACGTAGACCTCCTCCTCTGCAACAATCTGCTAAACAAAGGGAACGTGAAGGGGGTAACTTGATCCCAGTCTATAAATACCTACACAGGGAGCAAATGAGCTCTGAAGACTAGTGGACAAAAGTATAACGCAATCCAAAGGCTGGAAGTTGAAGCGTGACAAATTCAGGCTGGAAATAAAGGATACGTTTTTAACAGTGAGGGTAATTAACCATGGGAACCATTTACCAAGAGTTGTAGTGGATTCTCCATCACTGACAATTTTTAAATCAAGACAAGGATGTCTTCCTAAAATCTGCTGTAGGGATTATTTTGGGCCAGTTCTCAGGCCTGTGTTATCTGGGAGGTCAGACAACATGATCACGGTGGTCCCTGGCCTTGGAATCTATGAGTCTCCCCTCAGTCTCTCATCTCCTCCATCACTCTCATTTTGAGATTCACTAGGGGGAAGATACTACTGAACTCACTGGAAACTTCCCTGAGACCTCCCAGAGGCTCTCCAACTACACTAGGGAAGTGTCACGGGGTCAGCTCACCGCTAGCGCGTCTCCTCCTGGTCGCTCCAGGGATGAGCTGATTCCAGGTCCTACGCCTCCATTCTACTTCTTGCTGCACTTCCTGTCCTTTCTTCCTGGCTCTCAGCAAGGCAAGATGCTCTGCGTTCGTGGCTTAGCCCTCCAGGCAAGTCACATGTGTCCTCCCCTTCCAGGGTGTCAAAATCTCTTCTTACAAAAGGGCTCAGGCTGTCTTCCCATTCACTGCCCGGCTGGTGCCCCCTCCCCAGTGGCTGGGAGGGGACCCCGGGCCCACCCTCCACTCCCTGTTCCAGCTCAGGGACCCTCTAATCAGCAACCAAGGGCTGTTCCACTCTGGACCTTCCTGCCTTTTCCCTGAGCCTTTCCGAACCTTCTGGCTCCCCCTGGGTTTGCCAGTGCCACAATCCCTCCTGTCAGGGAGTAACTGGAGGCTGCTTTGGCCCTGTAGCCCCCAAACACCCCTCCCTTCTCCCAGGGAGTGACTGCAGACTCCTTCCCTGTCTGCATAAACCCAGCCCAACTCCTTCCTCCTCAGCTGGGCTCCCTCGTTATTAAGACTAAGATTGTTGTCACAGATCTGTTTAGTAAAAGTCAGGGACGGGTCAAGGGCAATAAACAAAAATTCACGGAAACCCGTGACCCGTCCCTGACTTCTACTAAAAAATATCTGTGACCAAATGGGTGGGGAGAAGGGTCCAGCACCCATTGCTGCTGGGGCTCTGGGGGTCCCCTGCTGCCCCCACCACCCGTGGCTCAGAGTTTTTGGGTTTCCCCACTGGCTGGGAGCTCTGTGGATCAGAGCTCTGGAGTCCCCCCGTCGTTCAAGGCAGCCAGGAGCTCTGGGTGGCCCCCGCCCCCACGGCAGCCAGGAGCTGCGTTCAGAGCATCCTCCCACCACCCATGGCAGCTGGAAGCCATGGGGTCCTGGCTGACAGCTCCAGCCCTGCTGCCCTGGCGCTGAAGTTATGGAGGTCTCCTTACGTCAAGGATTCCATAACCTCTGACACAAAACCGCAGCCTTACTCATCATTCGGTCAGGGGATTTCTTAAACCACCCAGTTCCCCACAGCTGAGCCTGTCTGGTTAATTGACCCCTTTCTGAGCCCCCATTAACCCCCTTCAAGTCAAGTGTGGGGTGAATACCCCATCACAGGAAGCCCCCCCAATATTTATAATGGCCACCCCTCCTCCCCGAAAAAAAAACCTCCCAAATCAGAACAAAACAAAAACCTCCCTCCACTTCCAGGTTTTCTTTCTCTGTCATAAAGAAGCAGTGTGGGGCACAAGCCAAATTAAAACACAAATCCGCGACAGGTCCCGTTTAAGGCTGAAGTGATTTCTTTGGTATTGTTGCAGACGCAACTTCTGAGTCATCGGAATCATGTTCAGCGTGTGAGAGAGGAGCGAGGGAGACAGGTAGCTGCTGAGGAAGGGAAATATCAAACTCTACTGGTAAGCGTCCACTTTTCATACTAATTAATAGTCGCCAGTGTTGACGATAGTTCCTGTCTTAGGATGTACCTGTAGGGCACCCCGTTGGGGTGATGGGGTGCATTTCTCTCATCCCAGATGTCCTTCCCTGGCTGTAGAGTCAGTGTGGGGTACGTACTCTGGCTGTATGTCTTAGGAAGCCAGCGCCCCCTGCTTCTGTCTTTGTCCAAAATAAAAAAGGCAAACAGAATAATCCTGCAGCCCACAAACCAGTCCGGGCTCACCCCGCTGTTCCTCACAAGGCAAAAGGTAAAGAGTCTCTGAAGTGGGACTGGACTCGTACCCCCTGGGTGTGTCTGAGGGGCCCAGGCTAAGTGCCTGGGGCTCTATTATAAAGAACAAAACAAAGATGGCTCCTCTACCTCTCCAGAGGGTCCAGATGCTCCTCAGTATCTTTCTGGGCTCTGTGGGGCTAGAGAGATCCAGCTCTGCTTCCCTCCGGGTGGCATCGTGGCCTGTGACACTCCCTGGTAAGGAGCAGCCCCTCTCTGGGTTTGACGGGTCTCACAGGTGCCCAGAGGAGTTCTTAAAGCTTTCCTGACTGGGGTGAGAACTTGTCAGCTAACTGGTCCAAGAGGAAGGCAGTTGCAGAGAAGGGAATTGAACCTATATCTCTGTCTAATGACTTAACCACTAGACCATCCTTCCTCTCTGAGTTTCAAAACGCTGGGCACCAAAACAACTCCCATTAAAGTCAATGGGAGCTGTTGGATGCTCAGCACTTTTTAAAAATCGTACCACTTAAAGCTTCTCTGTAGGATGGAGACAACTGCGCTGCCCTACCTCACAGGGGTTTTGTGAGGTGCTCGGGTGTAAGGCCCAGATAAGCACTACAGATAGCTTACTTATTTGGAAGCCTAAATAAGAATCAGTGTGAATCCAGGATTTAACAGCTACAAACCATTTGGAGCCAAAAGAGGGCGTGTAAGTTAGCAGAGAGGTTTCCCCATCACAACCATTTTAAACAGTCCCATGCGCACCTTGCAATAGAGTTGTGTTAGACAAGCAGCAGTCACAGTTGTCAGCCCAGCCCTTCTCTGGCAGCTGGGGTTTGGAGGCAAGTTTCCTTTGCTGCTGCTGCTGCTAAATGATGAACTGGGTCTCCCCTTCTTCTAGGCCTGACCCACCTTGCAGGCGTAACAAGACATAGAGCCTGTATCAGTTCCTTAACCCCTTCCTGGCCAGTGCGGGGTTTGTACACCCATTACAATATTATGTTTAATGTTATGTATGTATAATATATGCACATACTATTTAAATAATATTAAAGTAGAAACAAAATGCTTCAACCGACACTGTCAAAATGCAGTTTTTCAGAATGTTTTGTGGGAAATTTTGAATGGATTTTATTTTTTTGTCAGAATTTCCCGTGGAATAGAAATTCCAGTTCCCAGCCAGCTGTACTAAATATGGATTTAGTAGCTTAACTTTAAGTTCTTACTTTTGAAAATCTTGGGAATAGTGATTTGGGGCCAGAGTATAGGTAAAATCTTTGAAAAGTACCTTCACTGGAAGATGGGGGCCTAATTGTTCAGTGCTTTTCGAATTCCCTTTCTTTTGGATCTAGGCTCCCTAGAAGCATCTCACAGGTAGGCACCTTATGCTGAAAACTGTATTTAGACACCTCCAAGTGAGACTGGTTCCCATTCGATGTGTAAGGGCCAGAGGGCTATGCAGATATACCCCAGCTGAGCATCTGCCCCACAGAGTTCTGCCGTGTGTTAACGGGGCTCAGTCGCTCACAGCTGAAATGCGGTTGTTACTGGGGAGGGGGAGCTGGGAATCCTGCTTCACTTTATGTCATGGCCTTGTTTATATCTGTTCATGACAGAAACAGGCAGAACTCCAGAAGCAGGAGATTGTGTCTGAATTCAAGCAAGCGCACCAGATTTTGAAGCAGGGAGAGCAACTCATGCGTAACTGCCTGGAAGGCACAATACAGGATCTTGGGAAGATGAGGAATAAAAATACTAAGGGGCTATTACTTCTCGATAATTGGATAGCTGAACTAAATCAGAAGTGCCAGCAGCCAGGGATTGAACTTCTCAAGGTAAGACAGGCCAAAAAAATTTCCAACAGTCCATGGGATTTAGGCTCATAAGTGCTTAAATCACCTTTGGAAGAGAGATTTAGGCTCCTAAGTCAGTTGGGTGTTGCAATGCTGAGCCTAGCAATGCCTAAATACCTTTAAAATCCTGGCCTCAGTCAATATTAGGGCCCCATTGTGCCAGGCACTGCACAGACACACAG